ATTGCATTACTGTACATACATAACATCCCAAGTATGATACATATTACTGTCCACCAAAAGGAGTCAACATGTAAGTTAAGTCTTAACACACTTTTATACATATTTGTGATTCTCAAAATTATAACAAAGGGTCACTTTGGATGTCCCATCAAAACGGTTTAGCTGCAGGCTTCTGAGCTGACCTAGGGTTGACCCACAAGTTGGTTACCTACAAAACATTCAGGAAAATAGAGTGAGCAGGGCTCAGTGAATGATAGTAGAACAAAATAAAAGAACGAACGTAACAACACATAATCACCAATCAAAATCCCACTCGTTTTCCTTTATTTTCAGAACGGCCTCGGGCCCATGTAAACAAAACGGCCTCAGGCCCAATAGAATTCAAAACGGCCTTAGGCCCAACAGATTAGCAAAATGACCTTAAGCCCAACATATTAGTAAAACGGCCTTAAGCCCAACATATTAGCGACAGAATGACCTTGGGTCCATGTCTCATATATCAAAATATAACGTATGTTAAACATATCACCTATAACATGAGGTACTCACCAAAGTCCATGATTTCTCAAATGGTATATCAACACAAAATGTGATTAAAATATTATATTTCGTTACTATCACTCATAGTGATGTGGATGATTGCTGGTTCCTTCCTGCGGATGCCCAATGATCTATACTCACTTTAAGTTGAATTCTTCAATTGCTCCTAGCAAGTTTCTCAATCCCCAAATTTTGTTGATCTCCTTCTTCTCCTTTTCTTTCTTCTTTCTCTTACAAGCTTCTATAGACTTTTTCACTCAACTTATGTTAAGGGATGAGTTCAAAAAGGGAGTTATATAACACTTATATAAGCTTTTAGCTTCTAAGCTAGCCAACGGGCCTTAACGAATCAGACGAAATAAGTTTTTAATTAAACTTCCCAAAAGGCTCTAAAAATTCCTACTAACATGTTCACATACTTAATTTTAGTTTATCACGCCTTTACAGCTTTGAATTTCCAATTTAATATTTTAATTTTAACAGATATGTGCTAATGATCAAAAGATAGGAAATCATGACCAAACAATTTATACGTGTAAGCATAACTTTGCATGAAATTGCACATTAAACATGCAATTTCTCATAAAACTAGAGATGTAAAACGCATAAGAGGGTCGGGTTATTACACTCTCCCCCCCTTAAATAAGTTTGGTCTCCAAACTTATTTTACCTTAGGTCGTAAATAACTCTGGATACCGTTGTCTCATTTCCTCCTCTCGTTCCCATGTAGTTTCTTTTCTGTAATGCTCTTGCCACTCTACCTTCGCCATAGAAATCATTTTGCTTCGCAATTGTTTCGTTTGTCTATCCAAAAGTTGAATCAGTTTCTCCTCATAATTTAATTTATCATCCAAGGTAACTTGTTGATAATCTATAACATGGGATGGATCTTGCAAATAACTCTGTAGCATTGAGACGTGGAATACGTCATGCACTTGCTTCATATTCGGTGGAAGAGCAACACGATAGGCTACCGGACCTATCCTTTCTAGGATTTGAAACGGACCCACATATCGGGGTGCCAATTTACTCTTTTTACCAAATCTCGAGTGCCCCTTTATTGGTGTGACTTTTACAAAAACATATTTACCCACTTCGAACTCCAAGTCCCTTCGCCGATGGTCTGCATAACTCTTTTGTCTACTCTGTGTGGTCTTTAACCTTTCTTGAATGATCTTAATTTTCTCTGTCGTTAGTTGTAAAATCTCTGGCCCAAATAATGATTTGTCACCGACTTCAGTCCAACACATAGGAGAGCAACATTTTCTTCCATATAGAGCTTCATAGGGTGCCATTTCTATACTTGAGTGCTAACTGTTGTTGTATGCGAATTCCGCCAACGGTAAATGAGTTTCCTAGCTCCCTTGAAAATCCAAAGCACACATTCGAAGCATGTCCTCTAGTGTCTATATGGTCCTCTCCGATTGACCATCCGTCTGAGGATGGAAGGCCGTACTGAATTTTAATTCTGTCCCCAAGGCATCCTGTAGACTTCGCCAAAATCTTGATATAAACTTTGGGTCTCTATCAGACACAATTGATACGGGAACACCATGTAATTGCATAATTTCATCCACATATAAGGTAGCCAGCTTATCTGTATTGTATTGAGTCTTTACAGGTAAGAAGCGGGCTGATTTAGTCAGTTTATCAACAATGACCCATATGGAGTTCATGCCCCGAGGAGTCTGCGGTAAACTCACAATAAAATCCATGGTTAAATGTTCTCATTTCCATTCTGAAATCAGAAGGGGTTGTAGTAGACCTGCCGGTCTTTGGTGCTCCACTTTCACTTGCTGACACTGCAAACATTTTGAGACATATTCTGTGATTTCTCTCTTCATACCCGGCCACCAAAAATTCTGTTTCAAGTCATGGTACATTTTTGTGCTACCAGGATGCATTGCAAATTTGGAGCTATGCACTTCCTCCATGATTCTCCTCCTGATTTCCGGTACATTAGGGACACACCACCTACCCTGGAATTTCACCACCGAATTCTCATTTATGAACCCGGGCCTTGGTTTCATTTCCAGTTCGTCACAAATTTTCTATAAAAATTCATCTTCTAGTTGTCGTTGTTCAATTTCTTCTATAACTGCTGGTCGGGCTGCCATCGCTGCTACTGTTGCATTCTTATCACTTAACACTACTTTCACATCCATCCTTTCCAAGTCACATAGTGACTCCTTTTGTCCCGTGAGTAGATTTGCCAAATTCCCTGTACTTCTTCGGCTGAGGGCATCTACAACCGTGTTAGCTTTACCGGGGTGATAATGGATTTGTAGATCATAGTCTTTAATGAGCTCCAACCACCGTCTTTGTCACATATTCAACTCTTTCTGAGTGAAGAAATACTTAAGACTCTTGTGATTGGTGTAAACCTCACATTTAGCCCCATACAGATAGTGCCGCTATATTTTCAAAGCAAAAACCACTACAGCTAGCTCAAGGTCATGTGTGGGGTAGTTCTTTTCATGGGGTTTCAGTTGACGAGAGACATATGCAATAACCCTTTTATTTTGCATGAGTACATAGCCCAACCCTTTGTGAGAAGCATCACTGTAAATCTCAAATCCTTCGTTACCAAATGGTAAGGCCAAAACAGGTGCTGTAGTAAATCTTATCTTCAGTTCCTAAAAAGCAGATTCCCACTGCTCTAACCATTCAAACAAAACACCCTTCTGAGTTAACTGAGTAAGCGGTACCACAATTTTGGAAAAGTCTTGAACAAACCGTCGGTAGTATCTGGCCAAACCCAAGAAACTACGCACTTCTGATATATTGGCAGGCGTTGGCCAATTCACAATAGCTTTAATTTTATGCGGATCAACGGCAACACCCTCATTCGTCACTACACACCCCAAAAAGCCTACTTCATGTAACCAAAATTCATAGTTTCTTAATTTCGCATATAGTTTCTTATCTCGAAGAGTTTGAAGAATTACCCGTAAATGGTTCTCATGAGCCTCCACACTTGTTGAGTAGATAAGGATGTCATCAATAAACACAACTACAAAATCGTCCAGATAGGGCTTAAACACTCGATTCATCAAATCCATGAAGGCTGCTGGCGCATTTGTGACCCCAAACGGCATAACTAAAAACTCATAATGTCCATAACGAGTCCGGAAGGTAGTTTTCTCGACATCCTCAACTTTAACTTTCAGTTGATGATACCCAGACCGCAAATCCATCTTAGAAAAGACCTGTGCACTTTGCAATTGATCAAACAAATCATCGATCCTGGGCAAAGGATATTTATTCTTTATAGTTACCTTATTGAGCTCCTATAATCCACACACAACCGAAGGGTCCCATCTTTCTTTTTCACAAAAAGGGCTAGTGCGCCCCAAGGGGAAGTGCTCGGACGAATAAATCCTTTATCAAGGAGGTCTTGCAATTGATTCTTCAACTCTTTCATTTTGACGGGTGACATTCTATAAGGGGTTTTGGAAATAAGTTGTGTTCCTGGCACTATGTCAATCATAAACTCAATTCCACGATCAATTAGCTCTTCCGGCAGTTCTTCTGGAAAAACATTCGGAAAATCCCGCACAATTAGTATCTCATCAATGCTCCCATTCTCTACTTGTTCATGCAAAATACTACACAAATACCCCTGACAGCCTTTTTGCAGTAACTTACACGCCTTTATTGCAGAAATCAGATAGGGTAAACTACCCTCTGGCCTTTAAAAGTAAACTCAGATTCTCCTGGAAATTGGAACGTAACCTGTTTCGAGACGCAATCTATGGTCGCATGATACTTGCTCAACCAATCCATCCCCAATATTATGTCAAAATAAGCCATGTCAAGAGGCAGCAAATTGGCATCTACCCATACGTCCCCGATTAGGATTTCACATGCAAAATAAATAGATGTACATACCATGGACTCTCGCATTGGTGAAGACACACACAAAACATAAGGTAGTGGCTCTATTGGCCTATTTAAATGACTAGAATTTTGATACAAAAGAATGGGTAGAGCCTGAGTCAAACAACACATGCACAGAATAACCATTAATAGAAAATATACCTGATACCACAGCCTCGGTATTTTGCACGTCACCTAGAATTAATGTAAACACTCTTCCTTGTTTGGTGGTGTCCTTAGCGTTGGTGGGTTTTGTAAACTGCCTTTGTAGTCAGGGTTGGGGTTGACCCAGCTAAACTCACGGTGGTTCTATTTCCATTCTGTCGATTCTTTTACGGACATTCTCTGGCTAGATAACTAGTCTTTCCACACTTCAAGTATGTCCCTGTTACCCGGTAACAAATCCCATGATGCCTCTTTCCACAATCCGAACAGACTAGTGCAAAATCACGGGTAGAAGCGGATGTACTAGAAGCTCCTGAGTTTAACTTCTTACTTGGCAGTGTCGCCGAACCCTTAGAGGTTTGGGTATTCTGTCTTTTCTCTCTCCATTCCGAGACTCGGCTTTGAGCAGCAACATTTCATTCAGCAATCACTACCCTCTCCAACACGTCAACATATATGCGTAGCTTTAGCACATTGATTTGGTCAAGAATAGCAGTCCGTAACCCTCCCTCAAACTTCCTTGCTTTCTTGTAGTCCATATCCACCATGTGCGGTGTGAAACGGGCCAATTCGACAAATTGAGCCTCGTACTCTGCAATAGTCTTGTTTCCCTGTCTCAAGGTCTCAAATTCAGTCACCTTCTTATCCCGCATACTTTGGGGAAAATACTTGTCATAGAACAGCTCCAAGAATCTATCCCACATTAATCTTGGATGTACATTTCTGGTAAGCATCCACCACCTCCGTGCCTCGCCTTCAAGGGTAAAGGCAGCAAGTTGTACTTTTTGGACTTCAGTACAAGGAAAAACCTCAAATAGCTTTTCTATACCCAACACCCACGCTTCTGCTTTCATCGGTTCAATAACCCCTTTGAATGAGGGCGACTTCATCTTCTTGAATTCCTTCGTAAGTGTAATTTTTCGATCCTCCGCTTGGTAATCTCGTGCCTCAGGCGGTGGTACAGGTATTGGTGGTGGTGGTTGTTGTTGTTGTTACTGTTGCTGCTGTTATTGCCTTAAAGTTTTTGCCATCTCCATAATCATCCTTTCCATTCTATCCAACCATACAGCGGTGGCATCTTCCTGATCATCTGTTCTGGTTCTCACCATGATCTACGTAGCAATTAATTATAATACATACAAAATGCACTAGTAGGCATGGATCATGATCATTACCAATATATATATATATATAACCATGATTATCGTATATGTATATGCACCAAATATCACATGCAATGACCTATATTCTTACTGGACTCCTTAAAGCTCAATGAACTCGTGTGTGAGGTAGCAACTCGTGCTCTGATACCAACTGTCATGACCCAAACCTGCCCCTGGAAGTTTGGATATGACCAGCCTAATAAGGCCATCACTTAGTTATTTTAAACGTTATTCAATCTTGGGGCCTGAACGGAAGCAATATAAAAGAAAAAAAATATAAACATTCATTGAGCTGTGTCTAGATGCCAGGATCATATTGCATTATTGTACATACATAACATCCCAAGTATGATACACATTACTGTCCACCAAAAAGAGTCAACATGTAAATTAAGTCTTAACACACTTATATACATATTAGTGATTCTCAAAATTATAACAAAGGGTGACTTTGGATGTCCCATCAAAATGGTTTAGCTACAGGCTTCTGAGCTGACCTAGGGTTAACCCGCAAGTTGGTTACCTACAAAACATTCAGGAAAATAGAGTGAGCAGGGCTCAGTGAATGATAGTAGAACAAAATAAAAGAACGAATGTAACAATGCATAATCACCAATCAAAATCCCACTCGTTTTCCTTTATTTTCAGAACGGCCTCGGGCCCATGTAAACAAAACGGCCTCAGGCCCAATAGAATTCAAAACGGCCTTAAACCCATCGTAACACGGAACGGCCTTAGGCCCATCACATTACAGAATGGCCTTAGGCCCATCATAGTAGCAAAACGACCTTAGGCCCAACATATTAGCAAAATGGCCTTAGACCCAACATATTAGTAAAACGGCCTTAGGCCCAACATATTAGCGACAGAACGACCTTGGGTCCATGTCTCGTATATCAAAATATAACTTATGTCTAACATATCACCTATAACATGAGGTACTCACCAGAGTCCATAATTTCTCAAATGGTATATCAACACAAAATGTGATTAAAACATTATATTTCGTTACTATCACTCACAGTGATGTGGATGATTGTTGGTTCCTTCCTGCGGATGCCCAATGATCTATACTTACTTTAAGTTGAATTCTTAAATTGTTCCTAGCAAGTTTCTCAATCCCCAAATTTTGTTGATCTCCTTCTTCTCCCTTTCTTTCTTCTCTCTCTTACAAGCTTCTCTAGACTTTTCCACTCAACTTATGTTAAGGGATGAGTTCAAAAAGGGAGTTATATAACACTTATATAAGCTTTTAGCTTCTAAACTTGCCAAACAGGCCTTAACGAATCAGACAAAATAAGTTTCACCTCTTGAAGAGAATGAACTCCTTGGTTCCCAAACTCTTTCTTGGTACCCTCAAGGTCCTTTGGATGTGTCTTAGATTGTCTAAGATTCTCAGCAAGAAACTTAGAATCAAACTTTTATGGAGTTTGAATGGTTGAAGTTTAGAAAATATGGTTGAAGATGAAGAACAATGAGGGTAGCTCTCAATCTCTCTCTTAAGCCTTGGGTAAATTTTTTAACCTGCTATAATGGACGTTCGAGCTCTATTTATAGAGTTTCTTATGTAAATATCTAAGATATTTGTGGAAACTTCGCTGACAAGGTCAAATTTCTTGAAAATGCTCAATTTTCAGACAATTTAGCCAGTCGTACCTGTTTATGTTTAAGCGAATGTATTTTCATCTGGCCATGATATGTTGTCCGGCCAGGTAGAAAATACATCGTTGGATTAACAAGGTAAAGGTAACATGAGTTGAAAGGAGAAATATGTACTTTAGAGGATTTCACCCCTTTTATTCATTCCCATTATATCTTTTGCTCGATCTATTTGAAAGAAAACCACAATTTGATTTTGAAAAGGTGAGCCTCGAGACATTTTGGATATGTTTGGAATTGCGCAACCAAATTCATTTTGAAAAAGGGTTTTCCCACTAGTGGAAAAGCATTTTGGCCAAAACAAATGCTTGGTTAGCTTCAAGGCTTGAATCTCGGGTTTCTTGGAACTCATAAGATTAACATATCTCTGTTTTCATCATTGGGTATCTAAGAAAAAGCGCCTAAGTCATGAGGCTGGTCAAAATGGAGTGTCTACACCAGCATAAGCATCTCAAGTGCACAAATTATGGCTTAATGATTTGTTGCAAGTTTCCTATTGTAAACCCCAAATCAAATATCCTTTCAACTAGGGATGGCCATGGGACAAGTTGGGAGTGGGTTTGTTATCCCTCACCCCCATCCTCGCTTTCAAACCCCACCCTCGCCCTAACCCTACTATGGGTGAAACTTTTCAACCCCATCCTCGTCCCACGAATACCCACGGAAACTCAATACCTGCGGATACCCAACCACATTTCAAATAGTAAAAAAAATTGAGAACTATTTAAATCTTTAACATAATAATTCATCTTGTTTCCATATATATAAACAATGAGACTTTTAGAATTATTATTTATTTATATTTAAATAGAACCATAGACTTTTAGTATTCCGTCATTATATCTAATTATATTATATGTATATATATATATTATTTATTTATATATATTATTAATTATATTGGGTCAGATTTAGATCAGGGGAGGCGATACTCGCCCCCACTCCACCCCTGCTGTGGGTGACCAAAATATAATTCACCCCCACCCCTATATAAGTGTCGGGTTTGGTAAAATCTGCCCCATTCGAACAGGTATGGGCGGGCCCCCACGAATTAGTTTGAAATGGCCATCCCTGCTCTTTACCCTAATGAAAATGATTTGAAGAATGTGGAAGACAACACCACAATCTCAATTTGGATTATTCTGGTGTCATGTTGCCAAACAAATTAAATTTTTCCAATTATCTATTGCCGCACATTTGCAGATTTACTTTCCTTAAAATATCAAGCATCTATTAAAATATGAAGTGTATAAACATCTATAAAAATATTTATAAAATCTGTCAATACAATTATCTTCAAATCTGTCAATACAAGCATCTATGAAGACACACTAAGATATTATCACAATCCATCTATGTTGATAGTTCCGGTAGTTACTACGTCAGAGCTGAAAAGTGTACGAAACTGATCAATACGAGTAGTATATGCTTTTTTCCATCCATTAGCATACGAGTGATGAAAGCGCATCTAATTATTTGCTATCGGAGGTACTGAATGACCGAGAAGCAGATAAATCTAATAAACCACATCTGTATAGTCCATTAACAATGCACTACTAACCTTACTAAAATGAGTAGAAACATAATCCTTCAAAAACAAAAACAAAAATGTCAGAAAAATGAAACTAGAAATGTTTGGCAGTAAGTGACTAGACATGTACTTTTTGTTCAGCAGTAGGTTACTGAAACAAATATTTTTTCTTTGGTAGTGGGTCATTAGATATGTATTTTTTGTTCGACAGTGTGATTCTAGGCTATTTGATTTTGTTTGATTCTGGTACTTCGAACAAAAGCCGAACAACGCGAGTAAAAAACAAAATGAAAATATAAAAAGAAAGGAAAAAAACTCACCATTTTACTTTTTGCTGATCATTCACACCATTTCTTCGTCCATTACTTTTTTCTATGATCAAAACACTATGATTCTTATTTTTTTGAAAGTAGATGTATAGTAGAGAAGAAGAAATAAAAAAGGAAGAAAATAAGTAGGGATTAAAGTGTAATGGGTATAAAAAGATAATCAAATCTGTTTGATTTTTTTATTTTGTCCTTAAAGGTAATTTCATATATAGGTAAAATTGTTTATTAAAAAAAATCTCAAATGGAGGGTGTGAAGAGGGAAAATTATATTTCCACACACCAAATTACCTTAGTCCATACACTTAGGGGGTGTTTGGCATGTGCTAGAATAGTCAATGAAAGAGGTTGAGCCACCAGACGAGAGGGGCCCTAAAGAGGAAGGGGGAGGATGACTTTTCTTAAGAATGAAATGCTTACCTCAGCCACTATCGCCTGCCTGATGCTGCTCTTGGCTTTATGGTATATGAGACTTCGCTACCTTTCGCCTTTATAGTAGTAGGGGCTAGCCAGCCGTTACCTTCCTTTCAGGGACTTCCTTTCGCCATAAGTATTAGAGTTCTAAAGGAAAGAAGATATCTATTAAAAGGAAGGGAATCGCACCCAGACACGAGACTCAATAGGCTGCTACCGGAATGCGCGACCGATGTCCCTATCCGTTTGCTTCCTAGCTTGAATCCAATAGCTTTGCTTTATAGTAGAAGGGGCTTGCTTTCCTTCCTCTAAAGGACAGGGCTTTCCAGAGAGTTACTTACTCACAAGCATTAGAGTTATAAGAAGAGCTCAGCTAGTCTACTAACTTCTTTTATTAGCGTAGAGTAAAGAACTATATAAGACTATCCCCCAATAGAGTACCCTATTCTTTTCTTATGAGAAAGCATTTCGAAATCGGTACACATACGAATAGCGGTTTAGAATGAATTGCTGTTCTCGCTTTAATCGGGAAACTGTAACGGATCTCTACTGTGAAAGATCTGTCTGATAGTAAACCTGGAGTTTCGTCGATCTATTGGCACTTATCTGTAGAAAGAAAGCTTGTTAAAGAGAGAAGATAAGGAGGGGGCTTTAACAAGTCTCGATAAGACAGCTTAATCAAGCCTTCCGTTCAATATTCGATATCTGTAGTTTAGCGAGTTTTGTTGTCAACTGTATCAGTAGTGAATCGATTGAAGTAT